GTGAACCAGGAGTGCCAGTGACAACTCCTGTCCTGAAACAGTAATATGTGTGAACCTGAGAGAGGGGCAGGAACGAGAAGAGAAAGGTGCTACATCCTGTTCCACACCTACTTCATACAGGGGCTGCATGTTCTCCAGGCACACTGGCCTCTTCCTTTTTCCAGGGCAGGAAACACAGGAAATTGAGTGGACAAGCAGAAAGCACAGGATTTTATCTATTTATTTATTTATTTTTTAAGAAGGGAGAGAAAAAGAAACTAGAGTTTATCCAAAAAAATCTCAAACCAGTGAATTCTCCCCACTGCTCATTTAAACTTCCCTTAACATTAAAGCTGGCAGGCCCATCACCACCTCCCAAAAGTTCTTGTGCTAATTCCTACACTTACTTTCCCCTGATTTTTTGTATTTATCACAAAAAATATTTTCTTTCGGAAAAGACGATTTTTTAAAAATTGGATTTTTTGCAAGATGTGTATTGAGATGGCTCCGTTCAGCAGATTGAGGGAGAAACATAGAAAATTTTAGGCCATATTTATTATCCAATAGTCTATCTGAAGTTTGCACCACACATATAAGTCCTAAAGACAAAATCTCCCCCTCAAATGTACCTAAGGTACTCACCCTGTAAACCAGAAATTATGCTGGTTTTGTAGCTTGAGAATGGCGGCTCAGTATGCCACTTATACTTGTTATGAGGTGGTGAGCAGTCTGATCAAATTGATGCAAATAAAAATTACATTAATGTTCGAAACAACATTAAAAAAAGCAGCATTTATGATGTATCAGGTTATGGTAGCCCCTATTCTTATGAGTAAGTTTGAACCATAGTTCTAAAGCACGATTGTACAAAAAGCTGTTAAAGAATAACACTGATATTGAGTTGTCCTACACTTTGCTTTTAGCTATTCATGCATACCATATAAAAAAGGCTTTGATGGAAATCTGTTAGATCTGGCTTCTGTCATGTAACATTAGTCATATTGTTTTGCAAATTGCTGTGCATATATGCGACAGCTGTAGAGCAGCTTCCAGATTATTTTCCTAATGTTAAGAAGTTGACTTTCAGGATGCTGCATGAATTGCCACTTATATAAAATACATTGTAAGCACTGTTATGTGTGAAAAAAGAGGTGTATGTGGTTCTTCTGTCAAATTTTGGCACACATGTCTGTTTTGTGGTAGAACCAAACTGGGTTTTTTACTACCTATTTTACCTTGTGTCACTGTCAAAATATTCAGTCTTTTCCTTTGAGGAAATTATCTGTCAAGCCACTAGTTCTCTGCTTCTCTGTGTTACTGGGTAGGGTAATGAGTGCAGCTTTCCTGTCTCTGTCATGGCTTAAGTAGTCCAAGCTCCTTGTGCCAAATAACTTAGAAAATGGGAGGTCTTGTCCCAGAGGTGCTCCAATGCTAATCTGTAGTATAGAAATAGCTAAACTACTTGAGGATCTATTTACCACTGCCAATACTGTATGTTCTTACATACTTATGTAATTCTGCTTCCTGCTTTGCCATTTTCCATGGTAAAATATCATGTTCTAATAAGGTTTCTTTTATAGATATTTTAATTTTCCTGTCAGGATAGTTCTGGCTTTTTTTTCCCAAGTGATCACAATGTAAAAAATTGGAATGGTTTTCATCAGATTGTTGTGAGTTTCTGAAATGCTCCAAACAATTTAATGTAGCAATATTTAAAGAGAACTATATGCAAGAGTAACCATGGAAGTGAATGAAGACTGACATCTGGTGATAGGGAATTAACCTTAATACCTTCTTAGGTTTGGTTGGTTTTTTTTTTCAGTATTATTATTATGCTATTTTAATGTTCACATAGCTAGATCTTGAAAAGCATTTTGGAAAATAGGAAGCATAGTGAAATCTGAAACTTAAATTTCTCAATGGAAAATTCCAAAATCGAGAAAGAAAAAAAGAAGTGGTAGTGGAGTAGGAGCCAGAAAAAAAAAAAATAATCAGGGTATTTTATTCTCCAGCAGTCAAAATTAAATTGCATCAATAGTTATTTAACCAACTCAAAATTTTAACATACTTTAGGTATCCTGTGGAAAATAAATGATTGACGCAAAGTTTCATGGCAAGAATTCTAATTTGATGGCTGCTTCTACCATTTAAATCTTTTTCAGAGATGCTTGTAAATGAACTAATTGTTCTTTGGTAAAAAACTGTGATACTCAAATATTGTAATATGAGATATTGTTATAAAACCATGCTTTAAATCCTTGCTGAGAACACAGTTTGTCCATGTAAATTATTAAGTGTGTGGATTAGTGTAGTTCTGCTGCATCTCTCGTGTATTTTTCATATATAGGAGACATCAACTTTTCCTTGACATATTAGAAATGTCATGAACCAAAAATTCACTGTGCATTTAAATTAGTAATACAGCAAATGTAATTACCTGCTATATTTGAGAGCTGACTCCAATACTTGAGTGGCTTTGGGGTGTAAAATAGGCAAATGAGAGTTTTAATCTGTTTTGCATTATCTTGATTTTTTGAGTGAGATCTATTCCCATGATAAAGTTATCAAAATCAATAAATGAACAAAAAAATATTACCGTTTTCTCATTCTTTGTTTTGAGATTAAAACCATAATTCAAATTGTCAAGAAAAGTTTGGGAAAAGACTTACAAGAAGTTGAAGTTGGAACAACGGCTCTCATCTGAATCTGATGCAGGATGTGTCTAGTGCTCAAAATGTGCTATGTGTACCTTCCATTTTGAAAGGAATGCAATTCACAGGAGCACAGAAAATGTCATTTTATGTCATTGTCAATGGCAGTGGCTAGTAACAGATGCTGAAACAGCAAGCTCTATTTTATTCTTACCTTTTCTTAGTGCTTTGTTTTTATACCTTAATGAGTTTAGGAGATAATTAACTTCAGCGTAACAATTTGGCTGCTTCTGCAGAAAGGAGGAACTCATACATTCCCTCTGTCCTGCAGCTGCTGGCTGCATATTTCTGTTAATGATATTCAAGCTGAACTTGTAGCTGGCACTTCCTCATGCTTTCATATATATAAATATGTATATAAATATATACATGCACACACAACTATATGGATATATGTATGCATGTTTGTGCCTGTAAGTGAGCTTATATGCTGGCTCTGAGCAGGTCACCTCAGCATCAGAGGTTATTCAGAGCCACAGTGCACATAGAGAAGTTAGAATGAAAATAGCCAGGTCAGTGCACTACAGTGATGTATCTATGTTACATTTGGGACCTGTGGTGGTATTACATGTTATTGTGCAGTGTAGATGAATTAGACTGCAGATCAGGTACCCCTAATGAATTCTATTGTACCTTCTTATTGGATGGGAAGTTAAAGAGAAGCAGGTTGTCTCAAGTTAATATCTGATTTTTTTATGCTGACCTGTCAGCTGGTGCAAGGATTGGTAAAGGAAGGTGTCATTGTAGCAAACGTTTGAATTATGATCTATAGTCTTGGCTCAGTGGACCATTTTCATCTCGTTGATTGAATATGACATACATGCCCACATATAATTAATTTTTTCCCCTCTGTTCCCTATCGAATTTTACAAAAAAATTGCTCCATTACAGAAGAGAAAAACACAAGGTTTGTTTTTTTTTTTTTTAAATATCAATTCATAATATATGCAAATATGTATGTATAGATTGGACTTTAAGTCTTTCATGGAGAGGATCAAAGTCTCAAGAGAGACTTCAGCAACGAACGAAGAAATGCTTCAGTGTCTGGTGTTACACAAGCACTGATAGTTATTGACACATTAACCTTTCAATCTCAGTCTAAAATACGAGCAGATGTTTCACAGTGTTGCTCAGTTTAATAGAGTGTGTGGCAGGCTAATTCACCAAATATCATGGATTGCTACATAACAAAGGAAAAGTAAGATGAACTGGAGATTTATTTTCAAGTGTCATTTTGAACCTCTGCTAAATTTGGTGTGAGCTCTTGAGACTGTAGCTTAGTCAGTTACTGAGAAACCTGGAAAAGGATCCTGATTTGAAAGTGATAGTTGTTGACAAGGGCAGGGGAAGGTCTTTTGTTACCTAGGGAAGCATGTATCCAGTGCTTTTCCTGCTTTTGTCATCTTCCAGATCCTATTATTTTTCTTTTCTCCTAACTTTTCTCAAACACATGAATTGGGAGAACAGATTTCTGGAAGGGATATCTGCTTTCTCCAGACACAGCTTTTGTTTGTGTTCTTCAGCAGCGTAATAGTGAAGGTGAATAGGTCTTCTCACTACATCTCATTTTGCTTCTGCTGCTGACCTCAGTACTACCCACCAGTACTGTACAACACTTCAGCCAGTCTGCTAGTTGCCTGCTGCTCTTGCTGTCACAAGTGCTCTCTTTGGTCTTTCGTGCTTTTTCTGCTTTTACTGTTTCTGATCAAAGAAGCCTTCCTTTCCTTCACCAAGCAGCTGTGGGGATGCCTGTTTACAGTTAGGTTCTCGCATATATTGGCTTGTAAAATATGCATTCAATCAAATAAGCTTTCAGTACACTCTAGAAGCACTTTCTCTGTAAACCCTATTTCCTTTTTCCACACTTCAGCATAGGAAAGCAAGTCGGCTTTTCCTGCATTATATACCTAAATCATATCTCTGACCTGTTCTGATAGGGCTTTTGACACTATTGCCTCAATGAACACAGAAATAAAACTCCAAAAGATTGTCAAGGGTGTCTCTGCCATACATCTTCACCTATGAAAAGATGTGGAAATATCTATGCTAGTAGTGTTTAGAGAAGTTTGCAAAGGATATTTTTAATTTATGTATATAATTTGATAATTTCATAATCAGGCGTTTATTTCTGGGACCTCAGCTGGGTTTTGAAGGCATGCCTAAGTAATGGAACTCATCTTTGCGAATTAAAGAAAGATAAGGAACATATATGTTTATATTACTTCATGTGTTTTACTTTTAACATCACGTTAAAATTTCTGTTTAGCACCCGGGAAAAAACATTAAACAGCTCTGCATTTTGTTTTTCAGTGTGCAGTGACCTGGAATTCAGGGAGGTTGCAAACAGATTGAGAGACTGGTTTAAGGCACTTCATGAAAGTGGAATTCAGAATAAGAAGACAAGGATTGTTCAAAGGCCTGAAAGAACCAGTAAGAGACTTCTGCTTGTCTTATTTGATGTTCCCTGATACTTTTCTGTACTTTTGTATTTCCATGTGCTTTAAATTGGAATGTGTAGGAAACAATACCTTTGTGATTAGGTTTCACCTAAACCCTTTCCCCCAGGCTGTCTTTTATTCTTGTCATAGTATCCTTTCCTCAGGGAAGAACCATTCTGTTTTTAAAAAAGCCATTTGTGACATCCTTTCTGATTGTCTGCATTTAGGACTTTTTGTATTTCAGTCTCTCTAGTGGCACTTGGGCCAGGATTTATTAAAAGGTTTGGACACAGTCCTTCTGATCAAGTTAGATACAGTGCAAATTTATAGTGCCTTGCTCATGCTTTTCAGGGATGCTCCAGCTATTAAATAGTCTACACTGATCTGTACAATCATTAATATTATTTGTAAACAAAACAAGCAGTATTGTTTAAGTTGTTCTGCTAGAGCCATCAATATGCTGATAAGAAGTACGAAATGCAAGATGTCCACATTGTTGTGTTTTTATGAGTTACATAACTTTAACTGACACATTTTTTCCAAAGCTGGATCTTATTAGTAATGCAGCCTAGAATATTTCAAAGTAATTAATAGGTGTTTATTTCCGAAATCCCTTTTGTATCCATATATTTTCAGATTATATTTAAGATATCTAGAAGTATCAATACTATAAATGCTATATAAACACTTAAATTTTGTGCCCAGGCCATTTATGGTCTAAACAGGTGACACAAGGGGGAAAAGGATACTTCTGATTTTCTTTAACTTTCAGCAGG